GAACAGCCATGGCATCCCCCCTCCCCACACAGCACCTTCTGTGCCCCCCAGGCTGCACTTCCCCCCAAGTTTTAGTCAGGGATATATAGTAAAAGTCATGGACAGGTCACGGGCCATGAATTTTTGTTTACTGCCCGTGACTTTTACTAAAACTACCCGTGACTAAAACGTAGTCTTACCTATAATGAATTATAGTTTCTTCTTCAAAAATCAAACCCATACCTTTCTTGAGGTTTGGACAGGCAGAATGGCCATGGTCCAAATTCTAAATTTGATCTAAATCAGTTGGACCCATTTGTATTTTCCTTTTTTCTCCAAGGCTTTTTTTTCATATCAAAGTAGGTAGGCATTAGTTTCAGCTGTGCAGTTCACATTCAATCCACAATGATCTTGTTTCATATTAAGCTTACCTATAAGATGTTCTTCCTGACATCGGGGCCACTCCTGCAGTCCTTTATTCAGGTTAGGGCTTATTCTCATTAACTGCTCTACTGAAGCAAATGGAACTGACATGACTACAGAGTACATGACTACAGACTCATAAGGAAGTGTCTGCAGTGTTAGGTGCACATTTAGAAGTGCCTTTAAATGATTATTCCAGCAATGGAGACAAAGTCTGTCCTGATTTTCTCCCTGTGCAACCCCAAGGAAGATGGAGTCCCAACCTACTGCCACCGAAGTCAATAACAAAATTCCCATTGACTTAAATAGGAGCAGGACCGGGTGTAGGATAAATCACTCACTACTTAGTGCAGTGGTCCCCAAACTTTTCATATCGTGCCCCCTTGCCCATCTGCGCCACCTCCTGGGAGCTAGTCTGCGACCTGGGGGAAGGGGGAAATGGGGAAAAAGGGATCGAGGCTGGGAACGGGGCTGCGGGAAGAGCGGGACTGGGTGGTGCTCCCTCCCTGCCCTCCATGGGAGCTGGCCCGGGCCCTGCTCCGCCCCCTTGAACGTTCCCCCGCATCTCTTTAGGTGGCGCGCCCCACAGTTTGGGGACCACTGACTTATTGAGATGTATTGATTCTCAAAGATGAAGTCACCAACAACAACAAAAATTGAAGACCCGCAGAGTTTCAATGAACCAATTTTTGGGGGCAAGAGGATAAATATATACAATATATCCTCAACAATCTTAGTTTTTAAAAACTCAACATAATAGAAAAGGAGTAGCTTGTATTACATTGTAATTACATAAAAAATAGGACACATCTAAAAATACAGGACTAATCACTCAAGCTTTTTAAATTTAGTGTTTTATTACTATTTAAATTCAAAAGCAGCTAAGTCTTTTTTTATGAAGGCAGCTACCTTGGGAAATTAATGCAACTGCAAGAGAAAAAGTTTATTGAATATATATAAAAAAAAATACAAATAAGTGTTCAATACCACATCTGTACCTTTCTTGTTCCCATTCAAGTTGTCTAGCTATATTTTTATAATTTGAAGTTTTGTATGAATACACATTAAAACCTATTCTAATAAGTAAAGCAGAAACACTTTCCCAGTATTAAGTTTCAAGGCATATACCAACAAATCTGTAAACTATACCATTTTTCAGCCTCTGACACTTACTTTAAATCATGCTGGGAAATGTTAACATTTTAATACAAAGAAAAAGTTTATTTAAAATGTTCACATTTTTATATAAAATTCAGGATAAAATATAAAAAAAATTATACGTTTTTTTTAAAAGGCTTTAAAAATACTGATAAGTAACATTCTGCAGGAAACGTCAATGCTTCTGGGCTTTTTTAGAAACCGGTTTCAGTCTTACAAAGAAACAATAGGGAGAAATCCTGGCCCCAGTGAAGTTCATGGGAGTTTTGCCATTGACTTCAATTCGGCCAAGGTTTCACCCCAAGTTTCTAAATACTGAGGGGCTAATTACATGTGTGTAAATCCCCTGGTAAACTGCTCAAGGTTAAAAGACACAAGCGTTTTGTAAACAATCTTCCTTGTTATTAATGTACAATTGAAAAAAATGAATAGGAGTCAGAATCTTTTAGACAGGGTCTTTAACTCTGTATTATGATCTAACGGAAATGTCTGCCATTTTGAATTGAACAGTTATATATCTGAAGAGTCACTCCAATCAGTTACAGTGACTAAACTGCTTTTTAAGGTGCTTGTTGTATCAGCATCATGAAATCCTGTTAACAAAATAAATAAAAAAAAATTAATTAGATGATAAAACTAAATTACAATCAATCATAATTCAGCATTATTTTCCTTCCAACTGACACACAGGGTGAAATAAGGCCCCACTGAAATCAATTACAAAACTTCTATTGACTTCAACGGGGCCAGGATTTCACCCACAGGAGGAAAATTATAAATAGCTATATATGAAGACTGCTTCCCTCATTACAGTAGGGACCATGATACTAGCTGTCAGTGCTAATACTGCAGGCCTTTCTGAAAATGATCTATGTATCTTTTCTACACATAAAAATGACAATTTTAAAGTCCAATATCTTGGAACTGTCCAGGGCTAGAAGCAATTGTTTGTATCCCCCACAGGAAAGATAAGAATCTCTCCTTTCCAGTGGTATAAAGCTCCCTTTTCAGCCTGAGTCACAAGATATAAATCTTAAACTGCCAGAGGTCAAAGATTTAATATTATTCTCAAACCAGGTAATTTAGGGGGGAAATTCCTCGTTTGGGAGGGGAAGGAGACATTTTTTTTCAGACAGGTTATTTTAAAAAAAGATGGCAGCAGCTTGAAGGTGCTCAGAGTCTTGGAATCTTAGAATAAATTTTGTATCTTTTTTTATATACTGATGACAAAATAACTTTTTAAAAAGTTATTTAGTTTCCATTGTAATTAGATATTGTGACTAAAACATTTTTATATTACACTTAAGTTTTTCTTTAACGATGGCAGGTGCTTAAATCCAATTTTCCCCTCAAATACTGTAAATGTTTGAATATGTTACCTTCCTCCTTAGGCATATTTGCCTTAGGAACACCCCAGGCATGTACCATTGATGCAGTATTTGATTCATTATTCTTTTGAACTGCAGTTCCCTTCTGCCCTCTCTCGTCTTTTGCTAATAAACAATTTTCTTCTTCTACAGATGATATATCCCAGTCATCATCATCAACTTCTGTGAACTAATAGGAAAAGAAAAAACATAAGGGTTTTTTTCTGTTAAGGAAGGTTTTTTTTTTTAAATTTTCTGGAGTTCTTCTAAAGGTAGAATTGTTCATAAATCTACTTATGAAGATTTAGGAGCAGATTAGGAAGGGGGAACTGGAAAGTGTGGAAGCGAAACCCTTCTAAAAGGTCCCCTGGTGCACATGCATCAAGGGCTGTATAGTCCTGTGTCATAGCACCTTACATTTATGTTTCATTTCTTTTTACACCTACATACATATACACACACACTTTTAACCTATGAATATGCTGAATGCAGAAACTTATGTTAATTCACTGTTAGAGTTGCACAATTAAAAATAATAAAAAGTGAAAAGAACTGCAAAAGTTAAAGGGCCAAATGCTAAACCAGTGGAAATCAGCACAGTTCTATTGTACCAAGCGAGACTGATTTACACCAGCTGAGGACCTAATGCAAAGATCACACTACAACGTTAGCTTGACACAATGCACATCAAGTGTGTTTTATGGTATACCTGGCCTAACATAATGAATCTTGACTGGGATTCGTAGGCACTACCACAGTATAAATACTTCATTATTAATAAATAGCATGTTATAAGTAATATAATCTAATATTTAAATTAAGAAAAACAAATGAACACATTATATGGTATACATGCAACTTGGCAGAGTTTAGATTGCTGCAAAAACTTATTTGCTTTTCTTGACTTGTTTTTCAATTATGCAACCTTAACAATGTGTTAAGGGTTTTTTAACATTTAAATTCCTTTCTTTAAAGGGAAGTAAGGGGGAAGAGAGTGTTGAGAAAAAGAGGGGGGGGGAAGGATTAAACATAACTGGGTTAAATATTCATAGGAGTTCTCTATATCTAAATTTTGGCATGGTGCCTATCTTTGTAGTACCTTCCCTCCCTAAGAATTAAAAACACACATAATATCAATCTCTCCCTTGCTTCCTAGCAGGTAGGTGTTAGCTTTTTTTTATTAGAATGCTGGGCTTGACCAATAAGGAGGAATTGGTTGCGAATCTGAAGGTGGAAAGCAATTTGGGTGAAAGTGATCATGATATGATAGATTTAATGACTGTAAGGAAAGGGAAAAAAAAGTGAGAGCTGCAGAATAAGGAGAATGACTTCAAAAAAGCAGACTTTAACAAATTCAGAAAACTGGTAGGTAAGGTCCCACAGGAAGAAAATTGAAGGGAAAAAGGAGTTCAGGAGAGCTGGCAGTTTCTCAAGGAGACAATATTAAAGGCTCAACTGCAAACTATCCCAGTGTGAAGGAAAAATAGGAAGAATAGTAAGGGGCCAATATGTCTCCGTGAGGCGCTCTTCAGTGACTTGAAAATCAAAAAGAAATCCTATGAAAAGTGGAAACATGGACAAAATCAGAAAGGTTAAGGGACAAAATGAGTTAAACCCAGCAAGGGACATAAAAGGCAATAAGAAGAGGTTCTATAATACATTAGGAGCATCAAAAAGTCTTAAGGAAAATGTAGGTCCTCTATTTATCAGGGAAGGAGAGCTAATAACTAACGACATCAAGAAGGATGAGGTGTTTAATACCTATTTTGCTTCAGTCTTCACTAAAAAGGTTAATGGTGATCAGATATTGTTAATATTAATTATTTTGAGTAAGTCAAAATAGGGAAAGAACAGGTTAAAGAATATTTAGATAAAAGATAACTTAAGAACATAAGAACGGTCATACTGAGTCAGACCAAATGTCCATCTAGCCCAGTATCCTGTCTACTGTCCAATGCCAGGTGCCCCAGAGATAATGAATGGAACAGGTAATCATCAAGTGATCCATTGCCCTGTCGCCCATTCCCAGATTCTGGCAAACAGAGGCTAGAGACACCATCCCTGCCCATCCTGGCTGATAGCCATTGATGGACCTATCCTCCATGAATTTATCTAGTTCTTTTTTGAACCATGTTATAGTCTTGGCCTTCACAACATCCTAAGGCAAAGAGTTCCACAGGTTAACTGCGCGCTGTGTGAAGAAATAATTCCTTTTGTTTGTTTTAAACCTGCTACCTATTAAATTCATTTGGTGACCCCTAGTTCTTGTGTTATGAGAAGGAGTAAATAACACTTCCTTATTTAAGTTAGCTGTATTAAGTCAGCAGGGCCTGATGAAATTCATCGTAGGGTATGAATTTAAGAAATTAAGGAACTAGCTGAAGCAATCTCGGAACCATTAGTGATTATCTTTGAGAACTCCTGGAAGATGGGTAAGGTTCCACTGGACTGGAGAAGGGCAAACTTTAGAGTGTTTTAAATATTTGTTACAGGGATTATTTTTCTACATCCCTTTGCTTCTAAAGCCAAACTCCCCTAGGACTATGTCTAATGATACAGGGCTCTGTACAAGGACTTAAAAACCTTTAAATATACCCTAAACTAGCTTTTCAATACCCTGATTGTGACAATTTTATGCTCATATATTGGGCCCTTGCAGGACTAGTCCTATTAAATGGGAAACACACTTTGGAAATAACATTGGGCACTTTCTTCAACATTACCTCATCCAGACAGATGGTAGTGAAGGGATATAGATGACAGATTGCAAATCCTCTAACCTACAGGCAGAGACAATTGAATAAAAGACCATCTTGATGGTCTCTCATAATAAGGGAACTAAGCACAAGGGTTTGGAATGAGGAGGTAAAGTTGCCTCAGTATCAATTTTAAATATTAGGAGAGCACCCTCTTCTTGGTCCAGACCATCCATTTCCCTATCATCATGAAGTGTAGGGACGCATAGCTCCCGAATCGCCAGCCCACAGATGCGGCACA